TTGCATCAAGAAGGAATCAAAGAATAGGAAAGAAAACCCACAAAGGACCTTAATCCCCTAATATGGGGTTATCATTTTGGAAATAGGACATACAGAAATAAATCCAGGCAAAACACTCTGAGTGGGACTTTTTATGCTTTGATAGTCTGTACATTAATGGCTGATTAAGACAGCAAATTGCTGCTGGTAAACACATCTATACTGTCCCCAGCTCTCTGCTACTGTGTTTCTTTCTTTTCATTCAAAAAAAAACCAACCTGTGACAAATTCTCGTTTATATGCAAACAAGACATGACCTGACCCCATCATTTGACCAGTTGCTGGCAATTTTAATGTTGATGATAGTATACCAGGGGTGCAGACTCTGTGCCCTAACATTGTGCGTTAACCTCAAATTAACATTCACAACTCCACAATTTTCTTCTTAAAAGTGCCCTTTTTCTAATGGAGTGGAACCTTGGTAGCATTCCCATTTTATTTTCCATGTTTTATTTAACAAAAGGCTGGAAGCCCATTCTACACTGAATAATAATAAAGAGAAATGTGACCCTTTGTTCTGTTTCCCACCCCACTCACAGTGGTATCTGAGATGACAGCATCTTCACGAACATTTCTCAAAAGGTGGTCTCTAGATTTTAACTGTTTCCTACAAGATGCTGAAAATAAAAATTCAAGGCCTGACTAAAATAATAATGAAGTGATTCATTTTGATAAGGTGTTTCCTGTGATGCTTTTTTCGCCCTTCTGTCTTACAAGTTTCACCACTGCTATAAAGAAAAGTGGTAATAATCCTGCTGAGTAAATTCTAGAAGGCTGCCTTTTAAATCTTCAGTGGAGAATCATGTTTTTGGTCAGTAACAAATGCATATTAGAAGACAGACAAATGGAAATTTTAAAAGGCTCTGTATTTTATGATTTACGTTCTCAGTGGAAGGCTGCTTTTTAATTCTAATGGAAAAAAAGATCTGTGACAAACTCAGAGGTTACTTAGAAATCTGGGCCCGTAATTTAGTTTTTATATGTTCTACGACAAGCAGCCAGGTACATATGGAGAAACTAATACAAAGTTGTTTTGTGTATTCATTTAACGTATCTGTTTTTGGTGTGTGCTAATTTTGTTTTGGCAGAGCAGAGCAGCTCTGTGCTATAGCCAAGTGTTAGGCTCACTGTCTCAGCTAAGTGTCACAGCTCTGAGGCACGGCTGAATGTTACAGCTCAGTGTGGCGGCTCTGGGTTGCAGCGCTCATTCTTGGAAGACTCGAGAATCTAATGGTCCGTTGAAGAGGTGGAGGAAGACGTTTATTACACCAGGGAGCCCTGGTGGACTCAGAGGAGTCTGAGTGCTCCACCAGAAATGACAGCCTCCTTGCATAGGGATCTACAAGGTAGGTGAGCATGCTCACTGAAGTGGGGGGGGCGGGATTACAGAACATTCCTGAAATAAAGAGGTGGAGTTACGGAACATTCCTGAAACACATGCTGTGTGAGGATGCTCACTGAAACGGGGGCGGAGTTACAGAACATTCCTAAAATGAAGAGGCGGAGTTACAGAAC